TCCCTGAGAGCAAACCCAAGTATCTGATGGTTCCTATACTACAGTTTGAGCTTAAAGCCAAGTGGTTTAACATTTTGAAGTGGATCTCTTTGTCAGGAATGTAGTTTCACAGTATATTCTTCTAGAGTTCCAATAGGCTTGGTAGTGTAAAGGGAGTAACTTTTGAGCTACTTAAGTGCATTGCAACAGCCTGTCCTGGCTATGGGTTCCCTGGCCAGGGCAGTGCCTGCTCAGGCCTCCAGCTGTTTGGCAGCTAAGCCGGGAGCCACATTCATGTAGTGGGAGCAGTTTATAACTGTGGGGTCCCTACTGGCTTCTGTCCTGGTCTGCAGGTTTCTGGTACCAGTTGTGGGTAACCTTGTCCTTTGCCACATAACTGTGTATCTCTACCACTGCTTGGCTGTGCTTGCTTCTCCTAAGCCAGCCCTCCTAGGTGGTAACAGAATGCAGGTGGTTGAGGAAGCTGTGGATGAGGCTTGGTGGTGAAGTTTAGGGGTGAGGGGAAGGTGCCTGGCCCCGATGTAGCTGATACGAGCTTTGTAGAAGTGGCTGCGGTGACTGTGAGCAGCTGGTGGCTGGGTTCCTTGCTGTATGTGGTGTGAACGTAGCTTGCTCTCTGGGGTGCCTGGAGCTGAAGGAGAAACCGAAACGTAGACTAGCTGGTGTGTAAAGTTACAGCTTTAAACAAGCTGTGGATTCTCAACAAACAGCTCTGACCAATGCAGAGGAGGAGGTGTGGGGATGGGCATTCCCCTGCAATGGGGAAATGTGACTCTTTGGACCATGAAATTCCGTACCTCTGTTGGTGTTTCTCCTTTAGCTGTCACTCTGCCCTGGAAAACTCCAGCTTTTGAGCTGTAGCTCTTCATTTGAACCTGAGTCAGACCAGAGGATAAAAGTGCTGGGAGTTATTCTGCACAGCCCTTGGAGCTGGCATAGCTGAGAGCATCACTTATATAGATCCAGCAGAATGGTAGGGGAAGGAGGGCTTTGAACAGATGCTCCTGTTCAGTCCTCAGTGAACAAAACTTATGGAAAAGCTCTTCTAGAGCCCTTGTATTTCAGGGATCCTCCAAAGTACCTGCCTAGAGCACTAAGAAAAACTTTCAGGAAGGTCTTGGCTAAAACCTCCCACATACTGGTTTGTGGCCGTGCTTCAGTGATGCTATATGCATGTTGCTCTGCTTCACTTGATGTGCGTCATCCCGAGGCAGCTCGGAGCACAGCGAAGCAAACTGAAAGCTGCTCAAGACCCACTCCCTAGATGTCTATTGTGTTCTTTGTGTTTATTTCTTTCCGACTTCAGGAACTTGGTTAGATATAAAACAAGGAATAACAAGAGTGGAGGAAAGGATCTTGGTTCCAGAATGTAGCAAGGTGATACTCGCCCCTCCAGTTCTTGTAACTGAAGTATTTATTTCTGCACTGCAGGAGAGTAGACAGGATTGTTATACTCCCCTCTACCTTCCCTTTTCTTGATTAGCAGCTATTGAACAGATTCACTTCATGGGGTTTTTTGTTGGAATATCTGTTCTTTTTCAGTCCCCACCCCAATGTATGAAAGTATACTGAAATAGAGTTAGCATAACTGTAAAGGCTGAGTCTCCGACGGGAAGGCTGCTGCTTTGCGTCCCCCATGGGCATTGCTAGAGGAATGCCCCTTCAGACTGGAATTGCCTGGTGCTACTGGGAGGATGTTGATGCAACATCTGTTTCCCTAGATCTGTTGGCACCTGAAACTGTGGGATGGGGTTTTTTAGGCATGACAAAATAGTAAGGTCACAAATGTTGCCAACAGCATTCTGCTTTGTGAACTGAATGTCGCTACACACCTACATCCAGCAGATCACAAGGCCCTAAACATGGTGAGAGCCTGGGCAAGGTCTCTCTGGGTCTGGTTCACACAGTTCTGTGCTGCTTGTCTTGGAATGCCTTGAGCAAAGGACAGCCGTGGTCTTTTGGGAATTGCCCTACTTGCTAGCATTGTTTGCAGCAAACAGGCCTGTGTGATTGCATGCAGCAACTTGTCTGGGGCTATGGACTAGGAATTAGTTTCAGAATCTGAAGTGACTGGGGGGGAGTGAGACTCCCCTCCTGGTTTTTTGAGGCTATTTTCATGTGCAAGGTAGATGCTAATAAATGCTGGGAGAAGGGTCTAGCTTGAGTCTCAGACAAACGGTCAGGATAGATGACTGACTGTGGAGGAAGCCTGCGTGATTCATTCTGTGATCAAGACTGGAATCAAAGACCTATGCTCTTGCCTCTGTTTGACTTTCCCCAGCTCCCTCTTCAGTAAGCCCATGTGAAAGGGAGACTGATAGCCCTGGTGCTTTTTCTGGCAGTGGTCTGTGGCTTTAGTGCCTTGGCTTTGAATGCTTCTGCTGTGGGGTAGCAGGGTTGTGCCCTCTGACACCAGGCTAGCTAGAGCTGAGAAGCAGCAGGAGCCCAGAAAGCAAGGGTGTAGCCATGTCTCAGAGCAATTGTGCTATGAGTCCTGACAGGTCTTTAATGGGTGAAGATGGTGGGGATGTTGAAAGCCTACCTTAAGTGTTCAAAATGCCTCTCTAGCTTGTTGCTCTTTCGGTTTTCCTCTGCCAAGTGCAGAAGGGTGATCAGCTGCAGGTGCCTGTGTTTCCCCTTTGGGCTGTTCTGCCAGTTAAACCCATGAACAAGCTGCCTGTGTGTGTTTTCCAAAGCTGTACTATTGTTTGCATAATATTCCCCCTTTCTCCCATTACTTTCTGAAACACCTAAGAATGCCTGAGTGTTTTTTCTTCAACTGAAATGCCTCACTTTTTGAAATCAGAGCTGTTTGTAAGACTTCTCACCTGTTCTCGTGTAAGAGTAGAGGAAGAGCAGACATAGATCTTCGCTATGCAGCTGTGACTGAGGACATCAAGTTCAAGCCCTGTCTTTGCTTGTGGTGGGGTCCTGGGATGGAGGACAAAGGCACTGCCCGGGATTCTTGCAGAGGTGACACTAGGCTCTGCCTGGCCTGATAGCCAAGGGGCTAGATGGGCCCAGGGTAGGAGAAGCAAGCCAGCTCTCCTTTGCCTCCCTTTGCAGGCAGAGCAGCAAGTGCGAGCGTGTGGGAGGGGCGAGGGTGGGAACTCAGAGGTTCAGTAACTGGTAAGGCTTATGGCAACAGCCAAGGTCAATCTCATTAGTGAGAACCAGGTCAGGTTGCCTTGATTTGAAGGGAAGAAAAAGGGGAAGCAAAGTAATTAAAAGGGTAAGAGCTAGATATCATGAGAAGAAAGATCACGCAGCTCCCATCTGTCTGGCTTGACATAGCTGATCCCAGAGCGCTGAGCTGCAGTTTTCCTAGGAAGAAGAGTTGCTGATGTAGAGAAGCTTCTCTGTAACAGTAGGCACTGCTGCTTCTTGCTGGGTGACCCTGGGTTTGCCATGGTCACTTGCAATGCTCAACAGTAGAAGAAAAGGTAGAAACAGTTTTCACTAATCTGAAATATGCTGTAGCACCACAGACAAAGAGGTAATATAATACATGGGATGGGAACATCCTGGTGCTCAGGCTGATTTAAGTCTATCCCATCCCTCAAGCAGTCTACGGACACTTCTCTCCAGCCTCTTGTGATCGGAGTCTGTCCTTAGCAGTAAGAGCTGTCCTCGCATGCAGGCTGCCTGAGAAGAGCTTTGGAAGGAGGTGGGAGGAAAAAGGTGAAGGAGTCTGCTGGGTGGTAGCTTGCACTTCTCATCAAACTGAAAGGTGTTGTAAAAACTTCTCGATAAGGAATGGGGATGAAGGAATGATTTGATATACCTGAACTTTGTGATAAGTCTGCTAATGAGTGGTTTAGATAGTTGTAGTACTTCCTGTCTTAATGTAGAAGCAGCGGTTGTGGGAGTTTGGGGAGAGGCAGATGAAAGGGAAGTTTCCACCAGCTGTGTGTCAGAAAACCCAGCTGCGTAGAGGAGCAGTGACTCACACCTTTCCTGAGTGGGGGAGATGAACTGCACTGACTAAGATTTTTGGACCAGAGTCCCGCTTACACTGCAAGGTTAGAGATACGTTACCTGTCAGTACTAAAGCAGTGTTATCCTTCAGCTTGCACTTACCTTTCACCTCTGTCTTGTCTGGGGCAGGCAGCAGTTGTTCAGCCTGAGTCTCACATACCCGTACCCAGTTCCGTTTCCTTATTGCTAGTCAGGTTTGTAGCCCTTCTCGGTGCCTGGGCAAGGACTTGCTGGGAAGTTACTGGTGCTTTGGTTGTTGCATTGCATAGCAAAGCTGCTGTCTTGCCTTCCCTTCAAGACTGAGGCTGTATGTATGACCTTATCTGTATTTGTTACTTTTGCAGATAGCTTTTTTGAGTGACCGAAGCTTGCATATATGCACCCTAAGCCTCAAAGAAAAGGCTACAAAGAATTGACTAATCTAACTCTCCTGCCTGTTTTTCCTTGCCAGCTGAAAGAAGAGTTGTCCCACATAGTTGAAAATCTGATTGAAACTTATGACCCTTTGAATGATGATGAGAGGAACTTACAAGATGCATGGGACTATGTGCAAACACAGGTGAGTCATGGCAGACAGCAAGAGGCAGATGATGCTGTTTGTCAGTGCAGTCAATGGCCATTAAAACTAGGCTGAGGACAGGGAAACAGGTATTGCAAGAGGCAATACTGTAACACATTGGTCTGGCTGATACACAGACTTGCCTGTGAGGTTTGGTGCCTGCTGAGCAGAAAACTGTCTTGCTGTTACTAGGTAGGACCCTGAACAATTCCTGCATGCTGACTGTTAGGACTAGCTAGTATTGGCTGCATGGCCTAATGTATCTGGCCTGTCAAGTGGCACCCCAAAACTTCTCTTTGTCTGCAGAGCCTACAGAATACTAGCCTGTGTGAAAGCCACAGTTCATACTGGTTTTGTAGCAAGTCAAGTCCTTAGCTTATTGCCAGGCAAGTCAGCAGCGCTGCCTGCCTTAATACTTGGTGCCTATTGCTTGCTTATTGTGATGGCTCTTCTGCAAGTGTCAGTGTTCTTGGGAGCCATCCAGCTGCCCATGGTTTCTGTTTTAGCATCAGGGTCAGAGCTTGAGCAACTAGGTCAGCGTTCAGGCACACTGGAGTCGTGATAGCTGTTTACTGCCAAACCACAAGCTGGAGAGCTGGCTGGCTGTTGTGGTTAAATACATGCCCAGCATGGGACTGATGTGTAGGAAGTACAAGTAATAGCATATTTCTTCTGTCTGTTCTTTGGTCTGCAAAACACTGGCCTGCAGTATTTCTCCTCCTTGGAGGGAGAATGATTTATTTATATTTTATCACTGTGGTTGCATCTCCTTGCTAGTGGACTTGAGAAGCCTGAGCCTGCTGTGGAGAGAGGATCTTGCTTGAGCCCTCCTTTTATGTAGGAACAAAAGAAGAAGGTTTTGTACAGGTGGAGGGGTCAAGTGTTAGGAGTCTAATTCTTCTCATACATTAGAGTTAGCATTTGAAAGGATTGGGTGTTCTGTAGACCAGTCTTGGAGTTAAAGTCCAAACCTCTGTGAGGCAGAGGTAGTTCCTTCTGGAGGCTGGATCTTCAACACTTGTCTGGAAATCAAGTGCTTGTCCTGGTGTGGGTGTTCAGCTGTTTGTACCTCTGCTCTCATGTCTGTTATGTCAGACTGAAGCATTACTTTTCCTTTCTGAGCAGAGGGGGATTTTCCCTAAACTTCCACTTCAAGTTTGATAGCCTTTCTGCTCTGTACCACCCTGCAAACACTGGGATCCATGCTTGAGAGAAGATCTTAGTCTTTGTTGGAATTCCCAATGTGCTTTCCCCTCCAGCAACTGCAGTTTTATCACGTGGCTGTATAGGAATGTAAATGTTTCTTTGGATGGAAAATTTTCTGCATCCTTTCTTCCAGCCAGTCCCAATTGCAACCGGATGGGTGCAAGTTTGTTGTGACTTGCTGGGGCTCGGTGGCATGTCAACGCCATCGTGCGGTGGCTGCTGGTGTCCCCCGGGGGCCACAGCTAAGATCAGTGGTACCTTGCAGTTGGGAACCAGGACATGAAAAGTTCCTGCTTCATGTCTGATCAAAAAATGTGGGCTACTCAAAGAGAAACGAAGTCTTAGCATTTAAGCCTATGGAATTGGCTAGCAGGAGACTCGATAGTAATCTTTTTAAGATGTCTTTGAATACACGTGATGTTTTGTCAACACGTTAATCTCTTGCCTGCCTTCTCCCTGACCAAATCAATCTGCTGACGATGAACTGGAGGGACTGAAAAAAAAAAAGTAATTTCCTAAACCTGTCATACAGGACAACTGCCCTCCTCCAGCTGACCCACCAGCAACATCTGTTTTGCACTTTTACCTCTGTTTAGCATTGTCACCTGGAAATAAGATGAGGTTTGCTATTATTTAGTCTGCAAAACCTAATGAAAATTAGTCTGTAGAATTGATGTCAAGCTGTAAGGCCTGCTGAAATCTGCATATCTAGGCCTCATGCAGTAAGGCTTGTGAAGGATTCGTATTCTAACATGACTGGTGTGCTAGAACTTTATGGATGACCTGGGCACATCATAGTCTCCAGTGCTCAAAGTCTGCTCAAAGTGGCCCTTTAACTCTTGTCTTGCTAGCAGAGTGCTGCTTTTGTAGGAAGAAATGCCCTCGTCTTCTGGACAGCCCTGTGCAAAGGTTGTCATCTGGTAACCAGGGTGATGTTCTAATGTGACTAACTCACACAAACTGTATGGCCTGACTGTTGTTGTTAGATGGAAAGCTCTTGTGTACTTCTTCCACTGCCTGTTTTCATGTGCGGTATGTTGCCGGTGCAAAGTGTAAGACCATGATGATCTCTTTCTGCTTATTAGATTGCCTGCTGTGGCTGGACTGGTGCAAAGGACTGGGAAAATAATGAGATTCTTATCAATCGAAGTATGACTGCGTATCCCTGCTCCTGCTCCAACAGCTCCAAGGACTTTCAGGTAGAAAACGGTTTCTGTAACCTGGATGTCCCTGTCAACAGCACTGCAACATACGCTGACTGGCCTGTTCATGAGCAGGTGAGTGGGTATGTCTGGGCTCTGTGAAGCTTCCACTGAAGTCGCCTTGTCTTTGTTCCTCTGGGAATTTAGAGCAAGCAATACTGACATGAAAAAAGTGAAGTAACCCGTGGAAATTGCAGCAAGGGGGGACAGGGATCCTGCCCACTTTTGCTAAAGCTACTGTGAAACTTGGTATAGCATGTAACTAGGATAATCCCTGCATGCACGAGGAGATGTTACAGATTATTTTTTTCAGTCTTGAGATACTTAGATTTGTGCTTCTTTCCCTTGTGACCGTGTTTTCTCCTTAGGGATGCATGGATGGTGTAGAGAAATGGTTGAAGGACAACCTTGGTGTCATTCTTGGGGTCTGCACCGGTGTTGCTGTTATAGAGGTAAGTCACTCCCTGATGTGAACCTATAATATTTTACCATGGAGACTTAAAAGCACAGCTGTTTTTTTAAGTAATAGACACTTGGTTTAATGGTAGTGCAGTTCTAGCTCTTGGTTGTGTCTACCTGGAGCTTTGAACTGCTGCTTCTGTTGGACTAAAATTGAACAAAACTCTGTCTACTTGTGGTTCCTGCTTCTGTGTTTGATGCTTGGCAATTCACTGTATGCATAAACAGGAGGAATAAGACAAGCAACATCCCACTAGCATGATCCCGCTTTTTGCCTTAAAAAGCCCATAACATAGATTCCAGATGAAGGCATGTCTTTTTGCAGTGAACTATTTTTGTCATCCCAATGATTGCATTTTTCTTGCACTGGGGACCAACTCTGTTCACCTCTGGTGTCATTAAAAGGAGACCACTGTATTCTGCTCCCCTGTGTCACCCTTTCTTCCCACCTTATCTGTCTGACTGCTGATTTTTTCCTTTTTTTTTTTTCTCCCATGCTTCATTACTTATTCCAGCTGCTGGGGATGATACTGTCCATTTCGCTTTGCAAGAACATACACAGCGAAGACTACACCAAAGTGCCCAAGTCTTGAGCTGATTGACTCCGGAGCTACGGCACCACAGAGAAAGGAGCAAACGGAACATTCCTGCCTCATACCCAGACTGTCCAACCATTGACCATTATTCCTGTGACATCCCATTTCTGACACCACTCTGCTAAGAACTGTTAGAGCTGCGATACAGCCTGATCTTCTGGCAATAGAGCCCTTGGGCCACCTGCATCCTGCCTCTGGATTATTTCTACTTCAAGACGCAGAACTTAACTGTCTCGTATCACATGAGACACCGATTAACCTGAGGGGACAATGCTTTTGCTGCCTGCTCTGTGTTAAATGATACTGTTCATATCTCCATTCTACAACCCGCTGGGCCTAACATAAAATAACTCCTCTCCCCCCTTGTTCTCTTCCCACACATCTTTCCCCCTACCTCCGGAAGTCCCATCTCTTTGTCCCATGAGCCAGGATTGCTGTTGAGATTCCAGTGCTTTGGTAGCTTCACTGACTTGTGGTAACTAGTTGTGCTTTATAGGCCTTCTGCTCCCTTGCGGTTAACTTGATTCAGCTCCTACTATGCATCTTCCAGCCTAGGCTTTCATCTGAAATATTGACTGCTACCATCGTACTCGCTTCTCCTGCTTCTGGAGTCAGCTATGCCTTGCCTTCAGCAGAGCTCTTCGCTTTGAACGTGATGAGAAGCTACCGGGAGGGAGCCAAGCCTACCTATTCCTAGTCTGGCCTAGCAGACTGGTGGTGGTGCTCAGCTGCTTCTGGAATGGGTCCCTTGGGTTCTGGATTTGACACTTACATGTTTCTCCCACTTGCCTCTTTACCTTTTCCTCTCTCCCTAGCACTGCTTTGCTGGCTCCTGTCAGCTTGGAGGCACTTTGGAGACTGCTGTGTAGTGTGGACTCGGCCCCAGACTGGCTCTGCTGGTTGCATTATTGGGTTGCCAACTTTTACAGAAGTTACAATTAACTCAATTCTTCCCCTGCCCTCTTTATGAACATAAAATCTGTTAGCTGTGTGGTTTTTTTAAATCATGAATATGGAGGGATCTGACTGGATTGCTGACATGCTATATTGGAGATAACACTGCTACCAGTGCGCAGTTTAGGTTCTGTAGTTTGGATGCAAGGGTAAGTTGCTTTTGGTTTAGTTGTCCAGTCTTCTGACTCCGCTGCAATCTGGAGCTGTTGCTGCATTCTGAGCTCTGTCTCGAGTGTAAGCACTGCAGCAGATAAATAGCTGGTTTTGCAATCGTGCAGGCTGGGTGGTTTCTGTACTTAATGGTTGGGCTGTTCGCTCTGTTCAGCCAATGGCTGGCAGCAAGGAGTGGTGTAGAGCAGAGGAAGGTAGGAAATATATGTGGAAAAACTGCCCCAACTTCTTGGATAAGGGAGCTGGGTGCAAATCCTCTGTCTTAGAGGTGGCTTGGGCACAACGGATTTCCTGCAGTTGCATGTGTGTGCAAATCACCCTGACAGCAAGAAGCTGGATGAGAGAAGTGGACGGTCTTTGCCTGAGACCTGATGAAAGTACTTGGTGAGAGCCTTTGCCTTACAGAGGTGGTCCCAGGACTGTCTCTTGTCAGGGGTGGGGTTGGTAGAAATAACCCTAGTAGCAGTTCCAAGGGATGGCTTCACTACCTACTCAAGCTTTCCTTCTGGGAAGAAAGGCTCATGCTGGGGATCAGGGCCCCAGCACTGGGTCCCTGCTCTGTCCTTATCTCTGGACACAGCAGTGATTGGGGAGAGAAAATACAACTGGGCAACTGGTTTTTATGGAGGTCTGATAAGGCTTTGCTATTTTGAGACACCTGCCCCCTCCTGCACAGATCCTTCAAGCTGACTTTGCTATAGCAAAAGGCACTCTTCTTAGCAGTAAAGCTTGCTAGCGTTTGTAGCACACAGTCTATTCTCTAACGTGTTCTTATTTGTAAGGTTCTTGTTCAGTTACAGATGCCAATGCCGAGCAGCAAGTAAAAAGGAGCCCATGCTGGGTTTCTTTTTTGGTTTTTTGTCTGTTTTTAGCAACATCTTCCTACTGGAAGAAATGCATGTACAGATATAAAAGTCTAGAGGGTGAATATTTCTGTAATAAAGACTTTGCTAAAAAAACCCATATCTCTGTCTATGACTTGTGCATTGCAGTGGTTTCCGCTTACTTCCTCCACCCCCTTCTGCTTTCCATGTGGATTGCTGACACCTTGTTTGTTCAAGGTAGGGAAGGGCTGGTCAAAAGCTGTTCTGAGGCCCATGTCTGAGATCAGTGTGGACTGTGAAGGTATTGCCCAGCAAAAGGAGGTGACAATTTTCCTAGGCTATATGCCTTTAACTTTGCCTTGTTTTATGATGTCTGTCCTAGGGTGAGCTGGCTGAATGGTAGTTCCTCTGAATTACCTGCGATCTCCGAAGCCAAGTGATCTCTGTAGTTGAAGATGCCACTTCAAGTCTGTACAGTCTGCGCTGTATGAGGTCATAAGCCTCGGGGACTACCTCTGACAAAATACAAGCTTGCTGCTATGCCCACAGTGCATACAGCTCTTGCTAGCTTAGCTTTGTCACTTTTTCGTCTTCCTACTCACCTTCAGTAGACTCCTGCCTCCAGGCTGCTATTTAAAAAAAAAGTTTTCTCAGCCCCTGCTGCTGTGAGGAGGAAGAAGGCTGAGGTAGCCAGTTTTGTAGGTTATGCCACCGCATAACCTGGGCTTGACTGCATGAAAAGCTGTTTGAGTAGCAGATAGAGCAACTGCATGAATCTTCTTGCTTCCCTCAGCTAAGCAGTTGAGAAGTGGATATAAGCTGGATCTCTAAATTCCTTCAAATCCTGTTCCATGGTGGTGTTTCTGACCATTTAAAATGGCTGTCCTTAGAAGGACCTATGTTAGTATGCTAATGGAGTCTGGAGCTGTTGCTTTAGGAAGTAATAAGGGTGACCTAAGTCCTCATAGATGTTTGAAGAAACAGGGTGAAGTTTGCAGAGAAGAAGGTGCTGGTGTGCTACCAGCAAACACAGGTGGCAACTGGTCTAAAGTCAAGACTTCAGTTTCCCTGACCAGCCGAGTGTGGAGCAAGAGGTGCTTAAATGGATCCTGGACCCAAGTAGGGTGCAACGATCTGTCTGATTTGTGAGTACAACTTGTTCCTTTGGGTTGTCCTGGGCTGTGCTTGAGGAGACCTTGGTTCTTTGGTCATATGGGGTCTCCTCTCTTTCAGGTTGGTTTCCCAGAGCACGCTGCATTAATCGGGTGGCAGTGCTTTCCCAGAGTCTCACCATTTCGAGGGATACACTTCATGGCAAAGCTGCCAAACCTGACGAGATGGCTGCTAGCTGGGGAAGGGTGCTGCTGGTTCTCCTTCAGCCTGGCATGGAGCTGGAAGGAGAAAGGAGGGAAGGTGAGGACTGCTGCTTGTCCCCAGCTTGGGTCCCTAACTGCCCGAGCTCTGTGGCAACCACTTGCCTTTGGCCACTGGAGGGAGGTGTTCCACCAAGAAACCTCAGCCCGGGTGCTGCAGGATGGGCTGGTCCCTGGGGGATGAGATGATGACACTGATGGCTTCCTTCTGCTCGTAGTTACTCCTGGCAGCAGGGTAGCTAAAATAACTTGTAATTACAAATGTATTCTCCTCGTAAACGATCTCTGTTGCATACTTAGCATTTTTAGGGATAATTTTCCCTTCCATTTCTTGGAGCAGCACACAGTTGGATATTTTGTTCCATGTCTTCCACTACTGTATATGGGTTGTGCTTGCTTCTTGGGTTTCTGCCCAAAGTAGCTCTGGAAGCTGAAGGTTGTGTGAGGAGCTTCTCCTGCTGCTTCTTTCATTGCCCCCATCTTTTTCCTGTTTGCCTCCATCCTCAGTTCCTCTGTGTGGTCAGTCTGGGGGGAAGGAGGGGGCATTTGATGCTTATAAACCTGATCTAAAAAAAATGATTCTGGGAAGAAAGTCCTCAGATCTTCAGAGAGCAAGAAACCTGCTGCTGCTCCATGGGCCAGGCTCCCAGCTGATCTCCAGAGATGAAGGTTTGCTGTTGGAACTAGAAATCAGAATAGCACTCAGACTTCTTTGGAGCTGCAGTGTTTGTCTAGCAAAACCCACAGCATCAGCCTCTGCAGTAGCTCAGCACATGGAAGCGTTTTGTGCGTAACCAATAAGCTGCTATATAGCTGTCCCAGGCTAATAATTAATATTGCAAAAATACAGTTGTGACCTCCCTGTGGCCTTAAGCGAGGCCTCTGGTAATGAACTGGTGACGTTCCTCATTCTGCACGATCATGAAGAACTCAGAAGCTGCTATAATTCTTCCCATGAGGTGTTTTTTCCTTCTGGAGAGGGAAGAGGAATTGCATTAGTTAAGAGTGGATATGGGTAAGCCTATAGATCGCAATACATCTTCTTTTCCGTGATGGTTTCTGCATGGCATGTACTCAAATGTAACATGTGGCGGCTGTTCTTTTGTCTAACTCTCCCATGTGTGGTGGTGTGGCTGGCCCCTGCCGGCTTTGCTTGGGAAGTGAGGGTGAATTTGGTAGACTTCAGCAAAGGTCTGATTTCTGGCTGTTGAAGGACAGACAATGGTAGTGCCAGGCTCTGTGTGTCGGTTGGGGAAGGTGAGGAACAGCAGCCACAGGGGCTCACGGCTGAAAAGCCTGAGGACCCTGGGATTCCCACAAATGCTTTTTCACAGCCAGTTGCTGCCACTCAATGCCATAAATGGAGAACATCTCCTCAATTATTCATGGTCTGGCTCTAACTCATTAGCCTCTGAGACTCTTGGCTCTAGCCTTGGCCTTTTATTACAAAGAATGAACCTTGGTTAGCAGCCAGGATTTCTGAATGACATCTTAAGCCAGGTTGACACTTGACAGTGTAAAATCTTCTACTGTACAACTCTGCAAATACTTGTAAGCTGGCAAAAGGTCCTTAGCAGGAACTATGCTGTTAGTGAACCAAAGCTGTTAGTAAAATGTTGCTAATAAAGCTACTAAGTGTGCTTTAGCCATTATGAACCGTTTCTAGCAGGCATATGCTGGTAAAGCACATGCAATTTCTTGCCTTGTGGCAAGAATCTCTTCTGCCAAACATGGGGAAGTTACCTTCTAAGTAGTTTGTGTAACCCTATCCATACATTCTTACTTCTCTTAGGTATGAATTTTCTGGTTTCTCCCTTCTAAGCTCCTAATAATACAATTGGCTGGGGGGTGTGTGTGCTGTTTGGCTTTTGTGGGGATGGATTAGGGGAATATTGGATGCTCTGTATCTGGGAAAAAAAAGGTATTCT